TGTGTGTGTGTGTGTGTGTGTGTGTGTGTGTGTGTGTGTGCGCGCACTAGTGTTGCTGCGTCTATCCGTTTCGTCACGTCTTTCCATTGTGAATCTGAAAAAAGTATTTAATATTCACACGGGCTGTGTCTGTAGCTATTGAAAATCACGTGTAGATGTGGTGCGCAGAATGAGTTCAAAAACCTTTTGTCAGCACCATACAGAGGTCGCGACAAGTCGTACGCGGGGGGCTCCAACTAGTTTTTCGTTTTCTGACATCGCGGTCGGATATACAGGAAGAATTGTCCATTAGTAATCCGCTCGCCTTTTACCAACGATATGTTTCTGTACGCTCCGATCGCAGCAGCCACTACCGCTCTCGTTCTGTTCGCGGGTGAGTACATTACAAATACGAACATACATACCGTTTTACATATTATAACCCTGTACGGCGATATTAACATATCATCGTACGCTCCTGCCGCATCCCTTACGACTATAGACTACTTTTATCATTATTATTGCTACAAATAACACCTCGGATAAACACAAAACAATGAGTGCATTCGTGTTGTTTTTCCGATGACATTTGCAGCGATGTTGATCATACTTGCGCGTTAAGAGTTTTCGGGGGTTGAATTTTCTTCTTCTTCAACCCTCTTAAACGACCACTCGTGATTATCGGTTACAGGCTTGGTGCTCGGACAGAACAGTGATTTCCAATGTCCGTCGAAACCGGGATTTTATCCGGATCAGATACAATGTGACCTGTACTATCATTGCACTGCGGACGGCGAGCTGACGGAAAAACTATGCCCCGACGGTCTGCTGTTCGACGACTCCAACCCTAGCCACGAGAAGTGCGACACCTCCATAAACGTGGACTGCGGCACGAGAACCGCTCAACGTGAGTATAAAGCTATATTATATATACAGTACGCTGTCTTAAGTTTAAAAACTAACTTATCACTTGTCATCTATGTACCCTATATAACGTATATTATCTTCAGTGTAATATTAAGGTTTTTCCTAGCACGAAGAAACAACAAAATGTACATTTTTTTTACTTATAACATAGTTTAATCAAGATCAATAAAATGAAGATAAAATAATATTAACTTCTATTAAATTTTTAAGAACTTAAAACATTCATTAAATAGTAATCTTATATTCTATCCCCTCCTCTGTAAATATATCGTTCATTATCTTAAATGACTATATGTGATACTGACGGCAATACACGTCGGGAAGACTCGTTTGATATTTACCTTCATGTACCTATATTTTGAAAATACAATACGAGCGTCAAACCATAATCTACCATTAGTATATACAACACTTATTCATAATCGAATTTTTATTTCTCTTTTTCTTGCGCAGAGGAACCGAAAACATCCAAAGGTTGTCCTCGGGCCAACGGCTATTACAGGCATTGGGATGAAGGCGTTTGCGACAAGTTCGTCAACTGCGTCGAGGGCGTTGCCAACGAAATGCCGTGCCCACCTGGTTTGATATACGACGATTCCACCAGCTCTTGCGCCTGGTCGACAGACAGCAAGCGACAGTGCACGACGACCAAAAAAGGTATACAAGATATAATATGGGTAATATCATTAACACCAAAGAAACAGAACGACTTTGGCCGAATACTTTACAGAAATAATCGCATACGGAACGATTCGATCGATATGCTACACGATGTCTTATAATAAATATATCTGAAACAGTATTATAGATAGAGCACGATAATGATAATATGTAATATTCTACGAACGACTAATGTTAGTTATTACGTCGTTGTGGTTATTACTATTTTATCGTCGAATAACATTCGTTTTTCCATATTTTTTTGGTACACAACAGCCAACGGTAAATAAAATCTATGATTATGCATCATTATTAAGATTTCCGCGAGCTTATATCATAGTTTTACATGAACGAAATCAAATAGCTATTTTTTATAGTTATGCATGTTGCTTATTGTTATTATGTGCTGTAGTATGTTTTACTGAATAATACGTTTCATTGCATCAAGTGCAGCAGTGATTGATCACATAGTTAAGGCCGACGCAAAAAGATACGTACAATAATTTAAGTATTCATACTGTGTACGGAATCTTTATATTATATTGACAACCACAATCTCGTATTATTATTATTATATTATATTCAAACGTTACGTAAATATTAACTCACACACGTTTTCGAGACGAATAAAAATACATCCTATACTAATATGGTGTAAATATTTGTAATTTCGTACCTGCTATTTATGTATAGATACTGCGACAGCGTTAATTTAATTAACGAACACTCAGGCTTAACTAAATCTAATTTTTTAATAGAAATTTTAAGTTTTTTGTTTTATATTTTTATTTTTTATTTAGTTAACACATTTACACAATTTTAATCTATATTTCACCGAAAATTGAGTGTTTTTTAATATTTTTCTTGGATTCCTTTAAACGGTTTTAGTTTTATTTTAAAGCACGCGTATGATTATACGCTTATACTATTATAAAAGCATTAACGTTTCACACATGCATACCAAAATATACACAGATATTATATATACGTTATTGTATTATATATTATATTTTAATGTAAATCCCGATGGTTACAGGTTATCGTAATGTAAAAATTCCTACAGAAATAGAAAGTAGTTAAAAATGACGACATAATATAGTTGTAAAATAAGTCGATTCGATATTATTCCTTTCCATTATAATATGTATCTCATATTCTAAATATTATACAAATTGAACGTATTCGACTTTTAATTTAAATACTTGAATAGAAACGATAATACAATAATAACCATCAGGTATTGAAAGTAACAGTTCAAAACAGAATTCATTGAGTGCTTATGGAATATTTCCTCCATCCCGCTGAATAAATGTATGATGGACAAGTTGTATGATAGAGACAGGTTTACATTATTACGTTATAGTATGTTGCATGCATTAAGCCAATACGTTTTAATTTTTATTTTTTTTATTTTTGACAATTTTATAAATCTTGTAAACCTTGTCAATAACGCCTTGTAGTATAAGGTTTTAATTAATAATTAAATAACGAAAAAAATAGACATTCATCGAATGAATTCAGTAAATGTTCATAAACTACTAATGACAGGACTAAAAGTATATATACATAATACAGAACTATACGTATATAAAAGGCCCAAAAAATATATTTTCGCATATCCTATGAAACGATTTTGCACGTATACATCAACAAAACAAGTCATTATTGTTTTCATTCATAAGCAATATCACTAGCATAACTGTAACGAGATTCAAGACCCAACAGGGAAAAATATTTTATTTCTCATATATATTTTTTTTTAAGATCATTAGGAATGAAACATTTTTTTAAATTTAAAATGTCGTAAGTTTTTCAAAACTCGCGGTAATTATTGGCCGAGATATGTCCTCGTTTAATATCGGGTAAAACATACATCGAATTACAATATCAAGTACAATAGAATATAGCCCTGAAAGCTATATGTGGTGTGGCGATTATTGTTATCCGATTTATTGTTGTCTGGTGCGGAAATCCACTGTAGATTACTTTTCAATTTTTTCGTTGTAATAACGGTACCTTCGCGTTTTGTAGACGCTCTTACTGACGGTTTCTCGTGCCCGGATGGTGATGTGATTGGTCCGAACGGCAGAATCTTACCTCACCCGACCTTTGCGCACCCAGACGACTGTCAGAAGTTCTACATCTGTCGAAACGGCGTTACCCCACAATACGGAAGCTGTTCCGGGGGTTTGGTATACAACGAAGTGTCGTTCAAGTGCGATGACCCGGAAAACGTCCCTGGTTGGTAAGTATAACGATAAAATGACTATCTACGATGATGATGATGACGATGATGACAGTTATCATCACTATCATGACGGTAACTTCAAGGATATCGAAAACAGATAGTCAAAACATTCGCGCATGCGATTTTTGCCGTCCAGTTGGTTTCTAATCGCAAAAATAGGTCCAACTACGGCATATAAAATATAATATTTACACATGCCTGACCAAACTGTACGTGAACGTATATTATGTAGTTATAAACTAAAATAAGCCGCCGAATGATGCAATTTCTAAGCATTCGTACGGTTGTAATAAATTATTATGAACAACGATTCTCCATCAGCGAATAAAGCGAGAAAAAACCAGGGAAGGCGTACAATCGATACGAATTTTTTTCACTAATCTTAAAATAGTCGAAAACTTCTGATTCGTTTACCTTTTGCTTTTAATGCTGTAAATAATGAACAAAGTATATGTACTACGATTTCAAGAAATTAAAAAATATTAAAAAAAAAAAAACATTCTCTCCTGCTTTTTAAAAATATTATTCCTACTATATCAAAGGGTGAGTTTAGTTTTTAGCTGTTCAACAAAAACATCAAAAAATACGTTGATTATCGCAAGTAATAATTTTTTTGGGTGATACCGAAAAGTGGCTGCAAATTATGTTTTGTTGATTCGATATTATAGATTTAAAAGAAATATAGATATACTCGTACATTTATTATTATAACATTTTATTATATTACGTTTATGTTATAAATATTGTTCGAAAATTCTATTGATGTCTATTAAAAATATACGTGTTGTTTATCTATAAGAATCCCTTTTATAGAAATTTAGGAAAATGTTGATTTTATTATTTTGAAGTTATACAACTCTGGACTCGATAGAGTTATAGAGTGTTTTATGTAAAACGTTTCTATGAATGTCAATAATAAGTTGTATTAGTATTAGGAGAGACCAACAGCTTAAATTAAGTATTAGGTGTGAACTTAATATTAACTTAGTTTACAGTTTAAATTTGTTTATAAAATGAAAATTAATTTTATTCTTTTGGATATTTTTACAGTGAGAATTACTTCGAAAATGAAGACGAGAAGAAGAATGGAAAAAATTAAAATCTCATTTGTACTAGTGAATTATTTTATATTTAAATGCAAAATAAATAATACTATTGTTTTAAAAGGTAATCACTGTATATTAAACTTTATTTTAATTGCATCTTAAAACTTGCCCAACAATGAATTGTGTTAAGTTTAATAAATCCTTGAAATACTAATATGATAAGTGAAAGTTTATATAATTTATCATTTTATTTTATTCATCTTAGTTCACACGCCCACCGAGAGTTTCTCGTGAGTTAATATTGCTTTTAATGGTTATATGTACCCCACTTACTTGAATGATAAATTAAGTTACATTTTTAATAACCTCGTACCAGTTTCTTTATTATAATTTTTATAATAACTACTGTAATAATAAATTATCTTTATATATTTTATTTGGTACAAAACTGCATCGGTAAAATAGCCTTTAACTTTGTTGAATATTTGATACGTAATATTATTAATTAAAATGAAATTAACGTATATAATTATTTGACTACAAAATTATACTTAAAATATTTATTTTTTTTTTTTTGTGTCTTTGTAGTATAAGTAATCTATTATAAACTATTATGTGTACGTGTATAATTATTTACATAAATTATTTCATGTATGTAATAATTAATTAAAAGTGATTTGTATATAAAAATAAACAATATTTTAATCACCGCACGTACACATTAAATTTGTTGTAATAAAAAGAAAGTAAAATTAATATATTATTTTCGCTTAATTAACATATTATTATACATAATTACTGTTACATATTCACATATTCACAAAGAAAAAGTAATTAGTTTCTCAATTGCGTTATAAATGTATTATAGTTCCAGTAAAAATGTTAATTACATATGTTTATGACTAATATATTTTGGCTAAATATAAGGTATACAAGAAATATTATACTCGACGTACCTACCATCATTGAAACATGTGGCCACTCACATTGGGCACTAATGCACCACGCATAAGCCATATTATATACACGCAATCTAATATAAACACATGTCCAATAGTTTTAATTTAGTAATGTTACTATTAAAATGTACATGTTGAATGAATATAAAATTAAAATAAAAAAGGTAGATTAACTGAGTTATTTTTAATACAAATTTTGTTTTTAACGATATACATGCGTAAAGCGGAAGATACTAACACATCACATAAGAATATAAAATTAATTATTTTCATATATTTTTTTGTTATAATTGAATACACAACATTTATTTTAAATAATTTTACATATATAAAAAAAAAAAAAATATATATTTTATCGTGTGAAAAATTTTACTTTTCTATTTACTGCATATAAATATAGCTACATATCAACGTTTCATAGTATAATACAGTCATTTTTTATTATAGTAATGTATTATTATGTGTGTTAGTGCTGTTTAGAAATGTAGGAAAATCTTTTAAGTTTTATTCTAAAAGGTTCGCAGTAAATATTAAAACTAAAAACTGAATTATATAAAAAAAATTACAAAAAAAATGTATTCAAAAAATTGAAATTATTTTACGTCCAAAAACATTTGAAATTAAGTGATTTAATTTTTAATTAAATATTTCTTTAAAGAAATAAACATGTATATTTCAAACAAAAACTGTTTTTTTATTTATCAGGAATAGTATTTCTATGACTGTAGCAATTTATTTTAAGGACAAATTTAATTAAAACGTTTAATTAATATCGTAGCATTCACTTATTTTACTAAAGAAGATATAATTTAAAGTATTAAATATTTCAGATGTTTAAAAATATTTTACAATTTACCATTAATATTCTTTGTACTGAATGAATGATAGACATTTTAACTTAATAATACCAAATTTAAGTTCATGTTATTTTTCTGATTTATTAATTTTTAACTTGTCATGGTAATACAAACAACCTTTATTGAAAATTAGGTTATTTTCTCATGTTTTGTTCAAAAAAATATACTAATCGAACAAATGTCAACAAAATGTTTAGACAACTATGTCACGGTTTTTAATTGCCCAATACTACACGGTATTAAGTTATCGTGTCACTAAATCAATAATAAGTAGCCCGTACTACCTTATTATAACCTAATGGACATTGTAGCCATCAGAGGAAATATTTTACTCAGTTTTGGAATGTCATATGTGCGTTTAACAAAGTTAGTCAATTTTACCATACGCCTAGAATTCTTAATGTATGTGCGGCGGTAATGTACCACGAACGAAGCTATATATAACATACAAAAATAAATTATGAACTATTGGTGTAAATATTGTATTAAATTTACTATAAGTTTATACAAACAATTGATCGACTAACGGATATTTGATATTTTACAAAAAAAAAAAAAAAAATTATAAAAATGATTTGCTAATGTTTTTATGTTTTTATTTATAACGATACAACATATTTGAATTCGAATTGTAACATATATTTTATAAACAAAATTAATTATACAACCAGAATAATAAATAACTATATAACTATTGTAGTTTTATGAAAAACATTTTATAATATTCGTGTTATTCAAGTAAGTTTAGTTTATGGCAAAATAAACAAGCATATGATTTTGCGTTTTAACTGATGAGTCTATTTTAATATTAATTATTATTAATTACCTATATTATTATCGAAAAGTTTAGGAGTCGTATTATGTTTAAATATTAATTTAGTCCCACGATAAAAAATTCCAAATGCCCAATAATACGTATTAATATTATAAATGTGCCCGTCATCCTTAAGAATTAACCGTACAGGACGTTTGGGCACAATTCCAAAGAAACATTATTATAATGTAGCCGGTTTTCTTAATAACCACCGTCCTTGGAATATTCTATGAAACGCTGATGGAATCATGGGATGGAAATATTTTGGAACTCTGTAGAGTATTAATTAATCAGCAGTTGGTGGCTCGCAATGTTTGTCTGAAATAATTACGGCACATTCATCTCTAGAAAATTTTTATTTATAAATGACGATTTTTCTTCTATTGTACGTACAATACGTTCATTTCTCTTCTGAATAACTGAATGAAACTTGTTTTAAGATAATTAACGTTACGGTAAACTAAACTGACGTTGCTCTAAAACCGTATACCTTCTATCTCACTCTACATTTTTGTCTGTAAGATAAATAAATGGACTTTGTTAGAATACATGATTTTAATAAAAATATAAAAATATAAAATTCAAAACAAATATACTGTAAGTATTTGCTTGGGATCATTGAGCCTCGACAATTATTTAAACCACTGAAATTTTAAATCTAAATCAATGTCTTCGAAAATATTCGAAAATATATATAAATATTATAATCTTATTTCAACTCTAGTGTAAAAAATAAAACGAAAAGCTATTAAGTTTTTCCGTGTACCTAAACGAAAAAAAAAAGGATATGTCTGAAAAATAAAAATAACTTTAAAGTTGTTTGTTTTCACCGAAACCGTATCGTGAAATAAAAAGTGTTACAATAAAACAATTTTTCACGGTTCTCAAACGCAATTAATAAAATTGAGTTCGTCTTCATCTTATTCCACTGCTTTCTCGTAGAAATGAATACGGTAAGTATTGTGTTTTTTTTTTTTTTTTAAATACGCCGGTGAATATTCGCGGTTAGTAATAAATTATACTTTGCGCAACACCACACACAGTAGGTAATAATATAATATTATGATAGCGCAAAATTAATTAATTAATTGTTTCGAGTTCGAACACGCGTTTATTACCGTATACCGTATAAAACGGACGTGTTAATTTTATTTAAATTGCCGGTATGAAAACATCGGTTTAAAAAAAAAAAAAAAACGCACATTTTGAATTTGAATACGCAATGCACGCGTTGAACGCGAATAATTTGTAATGATTGTATACGAGTTGGAAAAACTACCTACAAAGTGCGAAAGTGCCACGGACGATGAAAACGAGTCGTAGCGAGACTAGTGCGCGAAGCCGTGCAGCGTATATATTCACAGCCTAACAGCGGAGTGGTTCAAGATCATTCGGTTCGGAACGGTACGGCGGATTGGGGATTTGATTGGAGCGCTGTTGGTGAAAGGCGCGTAGTTATAACATATAACATTTGTCACGTGCGTTTTATTATTCTTTTTTTACTATTATTTTACGTATCACGTACTATACCACTACACACAGTGTACCAGAAGTCGCCGATTGTCTGACAGGTTGGATTTTTGAACGCGCGGTATTTTCCAGAAGTTACACCGCACGGATCACGATGAACGTCTTTTGGACGTTTTCCGCAGTGCTCCTGCTCCAAGCAACAAGTACGTGTATTTATTTTCCTTATAATTGTAATTAATGCAGTACGCATACTGTCGTAACACGCGGTGCGTGAACGCGGTTTTCAAATGATCATTGTTGTTCGCGTTATACGATGCGCAATTGCTAGAAAAATGTTCGTGATTCTCTACTCCACGCGGCGCGACAAGCAGCGGGAAAATATAATAAAACAAGACTCGCACATCACGTACGACACGCGTTATCTTGAATATTTATACACTTTTCGTAACGAGATACGTTTGCAGTGGAATGCCTGTTAACATTGTGGAAATACTTACGCACCAAATCGGGCTTAGGTCTTAACATGTTGTAAATACCATCATCGCGGTGCAGAACATCGAAAAAAAAATGTAAGATCGTTTTCGGTGGCCAGCCTAAACATTTTTCAATCCAGTGTCAACATTTTACCGATGTCCCGTCCTCTTATCGGACGTACATCAAAATGTGTTGACCCAACTAACGTTTTATAAATATTTACTCGTAAACGATAATCTTTTCCTTTATTTCTCACTCGTACACCAAAAACTAACCCATACGTGATTAAATCACCAACTCTACTGGCGCCCCTGAAATATTTCAGCCAATAATAATAAAAGCCATTCACATCTTCCCAATATCAATCGCACGTTACATTTTATCTATCCGTCATCCGAGCAATGTAATTTATCAGAAAAGATCTTAATTCGAGTCGTGTTTGAAAACAAGTCTCCAAATAGTTGGTACCAACAACTCGATTGCATAGTCACCGTTCGGACTCGGGTTCGGCCGTTAAACGTTCGAGTGTTGTACAGATGCTACCGAATACGTAGCAAATGCATTGAAAAAAGAAAAAAACTTTGTCTTGGGTTAAATAAATGTATGATATTAAAAATGGATCATAAAACAGAGGAACGTTTATTGTTATCGATGTATTGTATTATAAAGACAACTCGGAAGTCTTTTATTTCGGACCAGTACCGTTCCTATAAGTCCTCGGTAGGCTGAACGTCGCCTATCCGGTACGTTGAGTAAAAATAGGTGGTGGATTTGTTGCTCATACGACTTCGATAGATGTAATAATAATAAAAAATTAAATATATATATATATATATATGTGTATAATATTCGTGCACGGGAACGTAATAATACAACGCGCATAACGCTCCAAAGAATATAACATTATTATTTTGTATGGGCATTGCATCAGAAACACATTATTATTATTATTATTCTGTTCGAGTTATGCAACGACCGTTTGCCGGAGACCTGTATGCGAGCGTATTCATTAGGCGTTTCGGACGCGTTATGACAGATTGGAACAAAACCGTTCGCCCGAGGCGTTCGTAAATTGCCGACACAACTAGCCCAAGGAACGCAATCACAAAATAGTCATAATAATAAAAATAACCCAACAACAGCCCATGCGAGCGTGTGTATGTTTTCGCTCGAGTGAAAGTTGCAGTCGCACGATCGCCGGTCGAATTGGGTTCGTGTTCCTCCCCAGCGCTGCGACCGCGGTTGCGGTAAACGGGTTTGAACGAGAGAGACGGAAAGAAGAAAAAACATAATTCAACACGTTATAGTAGTATACACACCTGGGTGTGCCTGCAGTGCGAGGGTAATCTTATGTATTCACATATGTGTGTATATGTACTGTCGCGCGGTGACGATAACAATTTGCGATCATTAAAGTGTACAGATCGAACGACTTATCATTAACACGTCGGTCAATACGATAATATATGTATATGAGTGTTTAAGTGTGCGTACTTATAAGGTTTGCATAATTTATCATGTTTAATGAAAGTCGCAATTAATACAATGTCGATACGTATACACACGTTACACCGACTGGCGTTAGAAATCGTTTTAAACGTCACCGATTACAGCGGAAATGTATTCACCATAACAATAATCGTTCGAAACTATTAATATCTGGGCTATATTTACTGGGCATTTTTACCGATCTATTCGCCACACTCGTCGTAAAACGGCGTAGTTTCTATGTAGGTACAAATCGAATAGTTTTCGCGCCCTACAGGCTTTACGGTTCTTTTGCCACATAACACGCGTGCCAATCAGTGACGTATATAGGGGGGTTTCAACCCCCCCCCCCCGAAATTTATGGTTAGTACGACCCACGTGTGCATTTCTTTAATCTATGTATTAATTAAAACCAAACTGTCTAGTATGGGAAAAAAATGCTCTCTCCTAATTTTTAAGCAAATTATACGCCCAATTCTTACCTACGCTTGCCCGGTATGGAGTAATTGTGCATCCTCGCACATCAAAATAAATGCAAATTGTCCAAAACAAAGTCCTCAGAATAATTGCAAATGTTCCGTGGTTTGTCAGAAATCCAAATCTGCTATTGATACTTTGAATAAACTATCCGTTGATTTTTTTCCAAATATATGGTGCTTAATGTCAATATTAGTAACTTTACCAGTCTCAACAGCGTCATCAGAAAGATCGTTTTCGATATTGAAAAGATTGAAGTCGTGCTTGAGAAATAGTACAAGCGAAAATCGACTAACAGGTTTATCTCATGTCAATTCATCGAAGTATTTCAATAAACACTGAAGAAGTGATAAATAATTTTGCAAATCTACCTCGAAAATTAGACTTTGTCCTGTAATTAAATTTATGTATTCTAATTTTCATAGTTATTAAAAATAAGTTAATTTATAACCTTCATTTAGTATATATTTTTTCATAACCCCCCCCCCCCCCCCCGAAATTAATTCCTATATACGCCACTGGTGCCAATCATCATGGTACTCTACCCCTATCGCTACACGTTTGTCTTTTGAAATGACTATCGATTAAACCAGCAAAACAATCTTTGGTTAGAATTTTCAAATTATATATTATTATATTATCTTTCATATATTCATCTGTAATAAACTATATCCAAGCGATAACATGGCACCAGGCCACTAGGTTAGGATTTGTAAGTGTACATCATACACGCCTCGTCGGATACACCTCCCTTAAAAATATGAGTCATCCGTTTCGTATGATAATATTTCTGCCCGCCCTCGTACAAGACTATACGTAATATTATTATTTTCAATATCACAAACGCGTAATAATAGACATAGTTCATGTTAGCCGCTCTTGAAAATCCAATAGATAGGTAGAAGGTTTTTAAAGATAAGTATACTACTGTTTTATTATTATTTCATGGTTCTTTATTATATATTTACCAGTATTAATATATTATGTTAACTTCAATAAGATGATAGTCATGTTTACCAACAGGGAACCAAAAGTGGTTGGGAGGGTGATCTAAAAAAACGAATTTTAGCTCGAATGGAAAAAATGGTTTTGCACGCCTGCATCTAACGAAATATGGTACATAGATTTAAATTGTTGCAAAGTATTATTATCACTTAACCACAATAACAAGCATATTGGACAGTTGTAGTCTTCGAATATTCTTTTACGTACTATCGGATCCACCTACGTAATAACTGACAGCGGTGGAATTAAGGGAAACGTCAATATTTTAAGGTTTGAAGCCCATTACAGAGTTAAAAAATTACTCAATTGATTTAATATTAATTGAAAAATATCATTCATTAGTATTTATCTTAAAATTTTTCACTACGTCACCATGTTAAACCTGCCACTGACAACCATTAACTCTATATTGTGTATTGCGTGCTTTTTCAGTGATCCATTGTCAAGGATACAGCTCAGAACAAGCGTCGCAATGCCCGGAAAAACACGGTGAACAGACGTACCCGCACCCCGACTACTGCGACCAGTTCTATCTGTGCACCAATGGAACGTTGACACTGGAACAATGCGGAAACGGTTTGCTATACGACGGAAAAGGAGCCGCTTATCACCACTGCAACTATCACTGGGCCGTCGACTGCGGAAGCCGCAAAGCCGAACGTATGTCAACATATTCGTTTTTTTTTTTTTTCATTTTTCTTTATGGCAGGATGTATCAGTATTTTTAGTCTATAATATACGATTTACCACTATTAATACGTCAAATGGACATTGGAGGTACCATAAATCGGTATTGGTATTAATGATATCGTTATAACATTATTGAATCATTCCTGTTTCGAGTCATTTCAAGGTTTTTCGAAAGCTCATGTCTCGTGATCCAATAAAAATCCTCTATAAACATCGTCAAAACATGTCATTAAGTAATTTGGAGTATATTGAAATATATGCGCGTATGGCGAGTACATTATTTATGTAAATATCTGTGTATAATTAGTAAATGTTTACTAGCCAGAATTGTAATAAATTCAATTCTAACTGCCAACTGGACACGTCTTATAGAAACAAAATAAATATTTAATTATATTTTTGAACTAGGATATAATCGATATTATGACGACCTTGATAACTCTATTCGATCAAACGATTTGTGAATAATTTCAAATTATTATTTCTAAGGCGTTTTCTTTTTTCAAAACCGTGTATTGCTTTACGTAATAATATACATCGTATCAAGAATTCTCGACCCGTTTTATTTTTTTTAACGGTATTTTGTCGAACAAAATAAATGTCAACGTTCGCACACGCTGTAACATAAATATTTCCCATATCACACCATACCTTTCAAAAATTAGTGTCTTATTCAACAACAAATTTTCCAGAAAATTATAATAACACAAACACACACACACTTTTTATTCACTAGAAACGCTGCATATAACATCTAAATAATATTTTAACTTCGTGACGTTTTCGAACTTCCTGTTCCACTCATGTTTGTCTTATTACTTTTTATTAAATATGTTTCGTAAGTATTGTATGCATTTTTTTCATTCCACAGTTGTGGCGATCAGTTCCCCGGGATGCGAATACCAGTTTGGTTTGTATTCAGACGGCTCTGCTTGCAGCACCAACTACGTGAAATGTGAACACGGCTCCGCATACGTTCTGCCCTGCGAACCAGGTTTGGCTTACGACGACAGGATCAAGAAGTGCAATTGGCCGGATGAGCTGGTTGAGGTCGGATGTAATCCTGCAGGTCAGCAGTTCGGTTTCTATATGCTAAGAGTTTTTTTTCGTTTTTAATAATTAATGGCACACGGTCATGTAACACGACCGAAACAATTTAATGTATTAGTATACAACCACCGAAAGAGTACATTCTCGTATAGCCCGTATTCATTTTATTACAACACGTCACGTTTTTTACAGATGTAATTGGATTCAACTGCCCGGACAAGATTGACCCTCACTCGGTCTCGGCCAAATTCGAACCGTACCCAAGATTCGCTCTGCCCGGAGACCCGCACAGGCTTATCACGTGCGTGAACGGCCATCCCAGGTTAATTAGCTGCGGCGAAGATAGTGTGGTCGACGAATCGTCGCTGACGTGCGTCGAAAAAGAGTACGTGTGAAATTACATATTATAATTATATTTTGCCAATATGTTTTTGTCCTGGATCAGCAATTTATGTTATAACCACATGACTTGTTTTAGAACGTATGGTACCGTGCTTACGAACCTATCGATACTTTTATGCTAACACGCGTATTATATACTACTACTAATACGAATGGCATAATTTAGGGAGAAGATTAAATCTATTTTGATTACCTTCCAAAATATAGCGCTTTAAGTACTTTTTATTGAATGACTGTTTCATGATCACTACCAAAAAAAAAAAAAAAAAAACCATTACAATTTCAGTTTCAAAGAAAGTTGTTTTTGAATTGTTACAGTTTTAATCTAGGTGTGTGAATTATAGGTTAGCCAGTTTTGTGGTTGTTAATTTTTAAAGTTAATAAAACAGTATGCGGTACCAGTATATAACAATATGCGCCTAATAATAAAATGTATGTATTATGACCAACTAAATAAATATATATATTTTTATAAAACTAAAAGCTAACTTTTATTTTTATTTTTATATTTATTTACTGGAGTTATTCATTTAAGTTTGTAGAAAAAATATTTATTTTACTTATTTCAGCATATTTTGGGCAATAGAGAATATTATATATATATTTCTCATATTTTAAAATATGTGTTTTTGTCAGTAAAAACGATCATATTTATTAAATTCATAAAATTAAACTAAAATTTCACAAAAAAAAAAAAAATATAATACGTAAAAATAACTAAAATAAAACAATAATAATTATTTGGACATGTGATGAGGTGAGAGGAAACAAAAGCAGTAAGAGTGGTTAACCAATGAACATTGAAAGGAAAATAAGAAAAGGAAGACGAAAAAAAAGATGGATAGATTCGATTGAGAATGAACTATATGAGAGTTGGTGTGTGCGTAGTGGATGTAGAAAATCGAGACGAGTGGAGGCTTAGAACAAAGGTGATCGACCCCAAATAGTTGGGAAGAAGACGAGGGAGAAGAAGAAGACAATCATTATTTACTGCTATCTATCACATATCACTTAAGTTTTAGAACATCCATTAGAGTAATAACATATGTGTTGTCGAATACACGAATGTCGGGTACTGGGTAGGCATTCAATGTTTATATCGTACACTGACGGTCCGTGTACGTGTTAAACTGTTAATTGTAATTTACACGAGTTTCCGAGTATGAGTATCTGTCTAAAATTAGACACAGCGTCTGTTAAATTAACTCACAATCACGAGAATATTATCTTATATTTATTTCTTACATATTGTAATATATTATTTCATCCTGAATATTTTTTCTTCGAAGTCTCGATAAAAGGCTAACCTTGGCAACACACATAAAAATCAAGAGAAAATCCTTAAATCTCAAGCTACATAAATGTAGACATCTTTTCAGATCTAACATTTCATTCCTCAACAAATTATTAATAAACAAACAAATTATTCGCCCAGCTATGACATATGGTATTCAATTTTGGGGCTCTGCCAATATTTTTCAAACATTTCAGTCAATTTAAGGATATTAACTAAATCTCCGTGGTATATTAGTGACCTTACCTTACATAACGTTCTTAATATCTGCACTGTTCCAACTCATGCCTACATTTATTATTCTAACTTCCACGTACACACACACAACCATCCTAACCCAATAATTTCTAATCTCTCGTCTATCACTATTCCTGACGTTTCCTCTCACCGTCTCAAACACAAATGATCTCGCGATTTACTTACATAATTAATTAGCTAAAAAAAAAAAACATAAAAAACAAAAGAAACAAAATTAAAGTAGTGTCATTGGATGCTTCATTATATATCATGCCACCATATCTTGTACATATTCTAAAATTTACATGTTGTATCATTTGAATACAGATTGTAAATATTTCTGTTTCTTTTAATAAAAAGAAAATAAATAAAAATAAGTCTCAACTTTTTCTTCCACTTAATCTAACTTATTAATCAATAATACATTTCATCTAATTATATAGTTTATACTTTATGTGTAATTACTAACGCCGTTTAGCACCCCCCCCCCTCCGGACTTTGGAAACTTAAATTAAAGGGGACGCATAATCTTACCTTAAATAAGAAGGGAGGCTCCGTCCTTTTCCGTTCTACCCTCCCTCCTTTAAACACTGCTACTAAATGTCTACATATTAAGATTGTAGTAATTGGATATGAAAAATAAAATAAGAATAAAAAAAAATTGTAACACATTTGCTCTCGTTTGTAAATTATTGAACCGATGCAAGACATGTATTTTATACTCAGTATATAGTATAATCTTTGTCATAACTTTTTCCGCTCCTTCATTTTTCCATCGTTATGTTTTATTTGGATATTACACATATATGACAATTTTAACATTACTAACGAGAATTTAATTACATTATATCCACCACCGTTCCATCACGATTGTATTTTATATCTACTATCAGTATTTTATTGACCTTAAAACAAATTATAATTATAATTTATTTATACCGTTACAGATCTCATTACAGAAAAAGAAAGTAGATCACATCGTTAATTCATCCGTGCCATGTTCAGCATACAATTTTACGAATCATGAATTGTACAAATTATTTGTACGTCATACCGTCATAGAAACTATACGTAAACACCGTTGATACGTCAATTTATAAAATATAATATTTAGTTTGGATTTGTTATACCATAAATTAATAGTATGAAAAAAAATATATACAAAAAATTTCAAAAAATGTATGTGTTGTATTTTATTCAGTTGAGTTGCATAGACGTTTTAGAACAGTGGTTCCCAACCTTTTGTTGTCCTATGCCTTCTGATAAATTATAAAAAATCTCATTCCTCCCTTAAATTAGAGTTTAGGCGATTTTTAGTCGTGCGAATCAAAACTTGTACCTATCAATATTAGATTAAATGCAAAAAGGTCTATCCACTATCATTATAAAATATAATTATTATCGATGTGGAATAATCTAAAAGAATATAGTGATTTCAATTTTATACACGGTCAATGTACCCCCCCCCCCCCCCATACAACTCTAAATTTCCTCTCACCGCGTTTGGGAATCACTGTTTTAGAAATACTGTTATTCTATTATAATATATTTACAAGCCTATTTAGTATGCATACAACACTCGTATATATAATTATTGCTAGAAGTCTGTATAATTCTAATCTCAAGTCTTATTATAACGCCATAGTTGGGGTTCAATTATTATAAACTTTTTGAAAAATACTGAATATTTTCAAGTTTAAACATAATACTAAAGAACGATGTTAATTCAAATCCAATATTATTGTTACTTAAACGAATGTATGAACACTATTTTGATCGTATCCGACGCATTGTTTCTTTAATGGCACGTCAGTATAAAGTAATTTGATTTTAGTAATAGCAGTTTTAAGTTATTGTAACCATATAATATTATGATGTAACATAATTTTAAAACGGAAACTACCTAGCAACTATCTAATTCAGAGGCTGGAAATGTTAAAACATTTTTAGACGTACAAAATTACAATATTACGAGACCCATTTGCTTTTCTATGTATTTACATTTTAAACTAAAAATATCAGTTTCAATTTGAGCCTAATAACAAAATCTTCAAAATAACTAAATTTTAATTTTTACTTTAATTTATTGTGCTTTTGTAGAGTTTATATTATAAATTGAGAAAATATCGTGTTTTCGATGAAAAAATAATTTGTATATTTGTAAAATGGCGTATTTGATAGGCAATATATTGGTCACAAACGTCTGTGTAGTAGTCTGTAAACTCAAACCTCATCAAAATCTGACAAATAAAATACTCAGCACCTTTTGTAAAGCTTTCTAGCTTTCTAGCTAACTTTCTTAGTTGGCAAATATATAATCACGGTACTGAGATAAAAATCGCATAACCTAATATATTATATTACAATTTATCAATTATAACAATATCAACCGTCTAAAGCAGCGATCGCTTAAATGAAAAATAGTGATTTATTTCCATACAACTTAATGAAAATACAGATGTATCAAACTATGTTCAACTTATGTTTTACATACTGTTTGTATTCAAAACTACAATCAAAGATAATTTTTTATTTTTTTTGCGAGGTTTATTTTTTTTACTAACTATCCGAATTTCCACTGGCGAAATATTTAAAAAAAATTAACCACTCTCTTGTTGAAAATGGATTATATTGGAAACCGTGGAAACCAAATATTATTTTCTGTTCAAACGATGCTCGAACAATTACAGGTAAACAGGGAGGTGTTTTGACTGAAATAAAAATCGGTTTCAGGAAATTATTCTTTTATACGTTACAGCATCCACAGGAAAGCTTTTTTTGTAAAACGTATGCCAGAACAATTTAAGCTAGTACTACAGGAAGCCATAAAGGTAGTCAACTTTATTAAATCCCGGACTCTATAAACTCGGTTATATTGTGTTCTGAAATGGGAAGTAACCACATTCAATTGCTTTTACGTACAAAAGTGAGATAGATATTTCGAGAAATAATGCTAGCAGGTTATTTAATTTTATTAACTACATTCTAAGGTTCGGTTATTCCTAAGGTTAGAGACAATTTTGAACTCAATACTATATTGACAGATAATTAGTGGATAACAACATAAGCTTACTTATCAAACATTTTCTATCGTCTCAATGTATTGAATTTAAGTTTACAAGGTAAATAAATAAACCAATTTTCAACGAATGATAAAATTAAGCCATTTATGAAAATAATTGAAATGATAAGTAACAATATTTCAAATGAAAACCTTAAGTATTTTTCTAACTTTGAACAATTTGTGATAGATTACAAGCTTCAAGCGGAAAATAATTTCATAAAAAACGTAAAACACCATTATAAAATGTTAAAAACAACGTTTAAAGAATATTTTAAAGATATTTATTCGGAATATTTTTGGTTAAAAAATCGATTAATTTTGAATTTGGACAATATTGGTTGAATATTTACTAACAATGAAAAACATTCTTCGATAAAATTATCGTGCAATGTAAGTTTGAAAATATAATTAAAATCGAATGAGTTATGAATAAAAATTAAAAACGAATATCCGTCGCTGTGTAATTTAAAAAAGCATTATTATTTTTAATACTATTCAATACAACTTATCATTGTAAAATTCGCTGCTTACGAATTGCGTCCCGTATAAAAAGGTATAAAAAGGTATAATACTAATTGCGTCCCGGGTTTTTCTTGAGCACGTCTGAATTGCGTCCCCATTACCTGTGATATCTTTAAAGTCGAAATTATTGGTTATTACTTATTATCAATTTATTATAGATTGATGTAAAATTGATTCGCTTCAATGCCTGTAGTATAAAATATACTTTGAAATAAACTGACTTTCGATCCAAATTTGCACTTAAAATGAAGTACCACTAAACCAGATATTTTCTCGTTGATATAAAATCTATAAATTCATGGATCTCAAGGAAAATTTGTTATTAAATTCATATTTTATTCAAAAAACTAATTTGTTTGTATTTATGAATAAAAAATAATTTTAGTATAGTATTTTACTGTCTTATTATTTAAAATAAAATATATCAAATACCGAGGTAATAATAAGTTTCAATAAACTAACTCCACCGCTATCTATTAGAAACTTATAGAACTGACAGATAACTACAAATATTTTTTCTATAATAAACATTAAAATTTCAATATTTAACACGAAATAAATAATTCTATAACATAATTTGAACGAATCACACTCGTTATGTATAATATTATCAAAACCGGTTAAGTAGTTTGGTGTACAGTTTCTATTAATTTTGTTCTTATATTCTTTGTAATATATAATCCGTCATATTATTTATGTGCTTGTCCCACAATTGTTGAGGGTTAATTTATATATACAGTCAATATAACGAAAAGCTTTCTCACCATCGGCGCTGAACTACATTGTGCAGTCTTGGTTATTACTCGATATCTCAACATACCGAAAAGGTCTTACAAATTTATTGCGTTAAGTATAATTTTTCCTTTCCATTTTTTTGGTTACCATAACAACAACAAACAACAACTGACCGTTCGGACCTTATCAGGTGAATTAATGCTTCCCTTTTCTTTCCTTTTTTCCGTGACAAAAGGTTGCCTATATTCTTCTCCAAGGACTAATTTATCTCTGTGCCAAATTTAAACAAAGTCAAGTAATTTTGAAGTCTATTGGACATAAACCATCGAACACGTCATGTATTATATTATAATAATAATGAATTTGCGAACATTTATCGACTTATCCGGTAGACTTTCTAAAAATTTACTTTCATTAAAACCTTGTCCAAACAATTCCTAGTACAAAAAAAATCAGTCAAGTCGTTTTCAAGTGATGCTCTTACATAGTACATGGGACAATTCATTTTTATTTATATAGATTTGAAAATATATAAATAAAATCATGTTTACTGAAAACCATTTGAATATAATTAATATTCACATTTAAAAACATGAAATTTTATTTTTGAACTATGTACAGTACATTACGTATGTGAAATCTGAAAAATATGCAAAATAGATAGTACAAATATTAAAATACAAGCAACTAATATGTATTATTTTCACTGAATAACGCAGAAAAACAAATTTTTAGTTCTAGATCATATGTGTTTCGAAACATTGAGATTCATTATCAAAATTAATTTTGATTTCAATGAAGTACATTTACATACAATTCTATATCGTCTGAATATTAATCATAGGATCAGTTGACAATATTACAAAAAAATTAACTTAAATGTTTCTCAGGGCCAACATTTTTCATTTGATTATGTGAGCAAAACGACAAAATAATAAATATAATTTAAATACATTTACTTTCAAAAAACATTTTCGACAAATTAATTTTTAATTTTAATTAGAATAAACGTCAATAACGTTGTTACAATACGTTATACGTTGTACATTGTTTTATTATATTTATTATTTGGAAATTTTTCATTTATTATATTTATGATTAATTATTATTTTTTGAGAAAATCATAAAACCTATCTATAATTAACAAAGAAATATTATAATGTCTATAACGTTATTAACTTATACAATAATTTACTGATAATTTAAGAAAAAATTTAAAAATATTTTTCGAAATGCTCAATTAAAATTGCATTACATTAATAATAGTTAACTAATAATATATTACCCAATAGAAATAACATTGCTATCAGGTTTTTCATTAATTGTATATATTGGGACTTATTCTAAGAATTTTTACTTACTGCCCAAACACACTAAAAAGTTTGTTTTATGAAATTTATTTGAATTATAATACTTACCCGCTCTCCAAATAAATTTTATATTAATATTTTTTGAATTTTGACCATCGCATGGTAAAATATTAAAAAAAAAATTGAATCTTTTCCGTTATACGTATACCACTATTTAATATTAAATTTTATAGATTAATCAATCAATGAAACAGCAAAGATTGTAAACTTACACAATTATTACTTATTAACAGGGCAAAGATTTGTATGCAACAGCATGTTTTTTTTGCGACTTCTGATTATTGATTTTGTCAGCAATGTCCAAGAATCACCTTAGGATGAGATAAATGGTGGTGTTTTTATTTTGCATATTTTTTCCTATTTCGGATGCATATTATTGCATATATTGAATAAAATGAATATTATTGCATATTTCGATTATAAGAATGCGAAAAATGAATTTTTTATAGTATATTTCGTAGTTTGTTTTATAGTATATTAAAGTTTATAATTTAATATTAATATTTCGTATTCATTTATAGCCCTACAATTAAAATATAAAACTTGATTTTTTTATCAAACATAAATTTTATTTTATTTCTCAATTATATTATATTAAAATAAACAGCCAACCACTGATTTATTTCAATAAATATTTTTATTTTTATTTTTTTTGTTACTATATTTTTGTGTTTATCTTATAAAAATTTAAATGCATATTTTACAATTTTTTATTGCATACAAATCCTAGCCCTGCTTATTAGATACTAGGTTGGGTTTATAAATTACACAAATTTCAAATACTCAGTAGAAATTCAATCATTCTAGGGAAAATTATATTTTTGTAAGGTGCCCAAATTCATAAAGTCAACTGCCTTTTTGATTTTTTTCTACTATCTAATTTGGGTCGTACTGCTCGTTAGAATAAAACCTAGTATATATTATATACCAATCTAGTAAAATGTTACAGAAAATAGCTTACACTATTATACATTATTTTACACTTACATTTTATACAAAGTAATGTTATGTGTTAATGTTGATACATATTATTAATATAGTTCTAGGACGTGGCGTAATGATACATCAAACGATGTATATTTTAAACTAGGAAATGGATGTTAACTGGTCAAATGATTTGAAAATACTAAAATTTGGAGTACAATAATACATATATATATATATATTATAATTATGATTATATAATTATACAATTAAAATATAATCTACACATCATTGTATTTCATAAATTTATTATATTAACACTATATGGAAAATAAGTGGTCTACGTATGATTTATAATATGTGTATATGTATAAGTATACTAAATATAAAATCTTACCTTTAAATGGCAATTATTTATCTTAATAATAAACAATAATTAAATATTGAACTTCATTAAAAAATAGTTAAAGAAATATCGTATGATATAATAACATATTAACGGAAGTAGCAATTCAAATTTAAACGTTTATATTTTTAATGTTAAGTTATTGTTTATTATTAGAAAATAAAACGCATTAAACTCAGTCCTTTGGCAAGCAGTTTCAAATTTGTATCAATACGTTAACATCTATACATTATATTCTTAAACATACATTTATATCGAAAATATAAGATACAAAGTGATTTAACATGAATGCGCTTCAGTGGGTATTATTTTATACAAGTTGAAATAACTTGACTGATTTATACTATAAAAAACCATCGACAAACTAACACATGTCCCCTTTGACTGTCAATTCACTTTAGTGTAATGTAGAAATTGAAAACTATTTACTTTTTAAATCACGTTTAAAGAAAATTAGAATCCTCATATTTTATTGTTTTTTATCTTTTTTGTTTTGCCTAATCTTTGTACCTAAATTGCTCAAACGATGTTTTTACACTGCTCGGTGAAATACGATACAGCGCAAGTACGTGAAAATATTGAAATACGATATAATTTTATCAATATCCGACAGAACATACAGCGATGGAATTTCTTGATGAAAAAACTTAACTATGATGTTTACCTGATTACGAATAGATAAATAATTACTAAAACAAGTGCGAAAAAATGAAAATTACATAATATAACCTGTGGGTTTGCCTCTGAAAATCGAATCATGTTATGGAATGTTCACAACCCTATTATTGTTTAGTTGTGTAGAAATACATATTTTATCACAATAAATTTAATTGTAACAACTGATTATATAACTCTGTAAACCATTGCATTCACGAAAAATCGCCTTGTATCGAGAAAAAATTTAAAAATAAAAAAAACAATAATATTATTATATTTACTATTCGAATTTGTGAATAAAATTATTTTTAACAAAGGAACCGAATTCGATTATTTATCTTGGTTTTGCACTAAATAATATATGGTTCGTGAAAACCGAAAATTCGGTGTTAGAATGCGTGTATAATTGCTAATTATGAGTGATTAATGTTCGGAAAATTAGACCGATACATCATCATATTCAACATCCGCATCTCCTTTTTGCGACTCTTCTCCGTTTTCTCTTCTTTGAACGATGTGCTGCTGTTGCTGTTGTTGTTGTTGTTGTTGTTGTTGTTGTTCCGGCAACGGGGGCAGTTGGAATTGCTGGATTTGAGGCCGCTGTTGTGGCAGGAATTGTTGTGGTGATTGTTGTGGTTGTTGAACATTCCTGGCCTGTTGCTGGAACTGGCTGCGGGATTGTTGTTGGAACTGCTGTTGTTGCGGCTGCTGCGTCTGTTGTTGAACAGCGGACTGTTGCTGCTGTAGGAACTGCCTCTGTTGTTGGCCACCTTGCCGATGTTGTTGTTGTTGTAATTGTTGTTGTGTCTGTTGCTGTGGTTGTAGCTGTTGTTGCGGTTGCTGTGCTCTCTGTTGTTGGCGCTGTGACGTGGGTGTAGCGGCAGCGGTTATCTTAGCTTGCTGCTGTTGTGGCTGCTGTGGCACGTTCTCTTCACCATCTTCTTCATTGGACGGCAGATCGTCCGGAGATGGAGCTGGCGTGGTCGGCACCTCACAATCCTCGGTGGGCGGCACCACACACCTCAAAGTGCGCTTGTCGAACACCAACATGGCCGGACATCTTTGAAGCCGCGGGTATCCTCCCTGACACTGCCAGTACCTATTGCACGATTTTCCTAAAGGCACGTTTCCATTCGCATCTTCATTGCAAAGAGCTGAAAATTCAAAACGCCAAGAAATTATAAACTACAAAATAGGAACAAAAAATAAAAACAAAAATCGAAATAAAAAAATAACTAGAAAACACGACCTTTCTCGAACTAACTCGTGAGACTATATCCCATCACTCCCATATAGTTTTTTTTCTCTGTAAAGTTCTTTGCACTTTTCATTCAGTATTTTTATAAGTTTTAAGTATCATACAAATATCGTGATTAGTATAAACTGCTTAAATAACTAAGGTCTATTAAGCAGATTTCTAAAATGTTAACCTCTTCCTGTTGCCTCTGTTATTTTTATTCTGTTCTTGTCCATTAAACTCTAAAATAACATATAGTAGTACGGAATTTTTATTTATCCGAAGATCAACTTGAATTGTATTCAAGATCAATCCCTATTTAACTACTCTTCCCTTTATAATACTTAAACCATTTCTATTATGTAAAGTCCTAAGTAATATGTCCCTCGAAATACTTCAGTCTGATACGAATATGGGGGGTGACGTGTCAATTGTCCCCCTCAGGCATTTTTATCATAGATTTATTTAATATTTTTGACATAGGTATAAAGTCATAGTTATAATAATAATAATAATAATAGTAATAATATTTCTAGTATCCTACCCCTTAAACAAGCTTCAGATTCGTTCCTTGACAAGAAGTCGTTTAGCTAAGAACTAAATATTACATCCTGTGCACCATAGTGGGATAAGCGCTTTTTATTATATCCTTCACATGGGGAAATCGCATTATGCTATTAGTCCGTAAAAATTTGTTTTTACTACAAATAATTTATGAACGTTTTCTTATACATCGCTTGACAGCGAAAAAAGTAAAAAAATATGCAATGAAAAATAGGAAAATTGCATTGTTATTATGTAATACGTTATTCTGTACTCGTATATTAAATATATACATATTATATTTAAACGTATTGAAATGTGTGCCCGGATAAAATATTTTACATATGAATTATGTTAAAGCTACTTATGTAACTGGTAGTGCTATAAATATTTGGGTTGAATCGAATAATCTATAAGCAAACGAAGTATACTATGTATATAAACACGCGAGATTTCTCTTTTTAACATAATTTATATATATTATAACGTGTACCTACATAACGTATATTCACCAAAAATCAAATACGGTGTTTATTGCGCAACGACGATACGTTTTATACTGGTTCTGTTGTAAATATTTGGAGAAAAATATCGATTACATCTATAAAACTAGTTCTTATATATATATATACATATACCTACATCAATTGCTGAGAATATTGCCACAAGTATGAAATATATGATAGGGGATGCGATGAAGGAAGAAAAACCCGAAATTCGTAACACGGAATTTATCTGTATAATTTATACGAACGCGGGAACAGCTTCACGTCTTCCGACATTGCTGCACCTTTATGTGTGATCACTCATTTCATATGTCGTAAGCATATTCATAAGTATCTCGACGTAACATAGTAGTTGCAGAAAAGTTTGTATTTTTTTAGCATTTCAGTGACTTTTTTTTCGATAAATGACTTATGCAACACAAACTTCGTTGTAGATTATTATGGTGAGCTTAACATGTTTCAACCGGTGTTCGCAGTAATCAATCGAGTTTTACTGACCACGGCAGCATCAATGTACGTCTATGACCGAACCATTCAGGAGCTCGGTGAAACCTCTCTCTCTGTCTCTCTGTGTCTCTCTCTCTCTCTCTCTTTCTCTCTCTCTCTCTTTCTCTCTCTCTCTCTTTCTCTCGGTATTTTTTATATATCTTTCTACGCTTGAGCCACGCGGGCCTACCCCGACTATGGTCACCGATAATCACACCCCACCGCTACAGGGTGTTCCGCGATTAATCAACAGCTCCATTTCCACAACCGTGATCTCCATACATGCAGTAACCATATAAATATAGTCCAATGACGTCATCATCACTTCAACAATAGTGTATAATATTATGTGAGGCACTAACGGTGTTTCTGGCAACCCTCGACGTTCTCGGGCCAGTCGCAAGAGTGTGTTTTCTCGTTGTACAACAATCCGCCAATGCATAGCTGTTCGGTGGAGGTGCCGTTCCAGCAAGTCCAGTACCGCGTGCACGAAGTCTCATGGCCGAATATGCCGTACAGCCAGTCGCAGTGATCGCGGGTAATGGGTCCATCTGCGGAAAGTAATTACTATTACTACAACAACAATAGATAAGGTACATTAAATATGTTCATTATGTATAAAACAAACGTATATTTTTTTATACGTGTGTAACACTATTGATCGTTACGGTAACCCGGGCTAAAGCGTCGTACAGAACACGTTACGCACGTCGAACGTGCGATTGTCGCGGTTCTCGTGTGCGCGATTCCGACTCTCCGGGTGGGTGATTGCCGCGGGTGTGCGTACTTGTGTACACTTTCACCTGTACAACAGTCGCGGCTGCTACGTCGGACTTCCTTCTAGTCGTGAGTTCAATCGTCCCACGCCAGTCAATTATGTATTTTGCCGTTGCCGAGTATACCTACAAAGTAATCTCCCCAGGTCGGAATGAAGTCACACGGCCCCCGGGGATCACCCTGAACTATTACGCGTCTAGATACGAACGAGGTCGCAATATCTCCGACGAAAATCTTATGCGGACGAGTACAATAAGTCATGTGTACCTGTATGATATGCGTTGAACCTTGTATTTAGGTCGGAGCCGAAAACTTTTTAAAAATTGCAGTCAATGTGCCAAAGAGGTCAAAGCTACGATTTGCGATTCTCTCCACAGAATTGCTACTACACTACTACATAAGGAGTTATAAATATAAAACATTTTACGAAATATATATGATAAATAGTAAACAAAAATTAGACTTTCACAAAGTGTTAATTTAAAGAAGAAACGTAGGCAAGGTCGCATAATGTGGGGCTTGAGGTTGTTTTAATCGTTGAAAACGTAAAACACTCGCAGCAGTGAGAAAATACACACGCGTCATTACGAAAGCATCAGGAAAATTGTGCGATTGCCCGCGAGCATATGACTGTGCCTTAAAATTGTGCATACGCGCTAAGCGTAGTACAAACATTTAAGTGTGTACTAAAATGAAATAATAATAATAAATAATAATAAAATAAAATAAAATCTTAGTCGTTGGAATCATAAATACATAAACAATTATCGTGAAATTGTTTTATGCTTATACAAAAAAATGTACATGACTTTTATGATGGATTAAAATTAATTTTCTATTTGTATAGGCTAATATTCTAAAAATTAAGCTATAGGATATAAAAGTATATTTAATATTAAATGCGTAATATGAACAATTAGGTCCTATATATGACCAACGAAAATAATATCGTTTGGATATTGTTGTGCAACACCGATACTCATGTGTAATTGGTTCCGCGAACCGTCTCGCATTACTCGTATTTATATTAAACATTACAGATATACGGAAAACTGTCGTCATTGTCGTCCACCCACGAAATTATGTATTGTTGTTATTCCGTGTCTGGCCTAATGTGTTATTATTACGCCCGTGTACCCGTCGCGCACATCTGTCGACAACGTGTGGAAAATAGTTTTACAAGAAAATCCATGACAGGTCTGTATTATATTATAATTTTTCACACCGTAACCAAAATCGTCTTGTTATAATTCACGGACGTACTACGTTGAAATGGAAGCGGTACGTTATATGCTGCACGTTTTCACGTACATCTGCGAATATAATTAAAATGCTCGAATCTGTAGTCACCTTATTTCGATAATATTTTTTTAATTAACGTGACGCGGTTAAATATTTGCCTAAGCGACTTACTGACTTGAGTTTTGCCCTCGCAATAGTCCGCTCTCCACGGATAGTCACATCCCTCGGTCACGCCCCTATGTTTGCCCGAGTACACTAAACCGTTCGGACAGTCGTACAATTCGGGCTGTCCGTCCACGCATTCCCAATAACGGTCGCAGTACGCCACGTCCGGTGCCACCTTGTTCTTGGCCTTGCATGGGTCTTCCTGCACGTTAGAAGACTTGAGTTGCTGTTGACAAACGCCTGAAACACAACATACATATATTATATACCAACAATTTCAACTAATGTTTCTCACATTTCACGATCAGTGGTCCTATTAAACAGTTAATATATACGTATACTGATAATTACGAGTGTAAATTATATTATACAACTCGCCTTATTTTGTCTGTATAATAGGTATGCCTGTTATTTTTTTCTATTTCGTATCATTATGTGACATTATGAAACACACGATGGGTTTAATTATTCAAGTCGATATATTATTATTTACCGACATACGGCTCGACCGACAGCCTCTATATATATAATGCAGTCGATGATAAAATAATAATGTAATAATAATAACCGGTTTCCTGCGATGCGTAAGATTCACCGAGCTTTGTTCGATCGATGGCACATTTAGCCGTAACTTGCCGCCGCTGAAGCTTACATAACAATTTAAAATAATATATTATTTATCTTAATACTATAACAACTAATAACTGCATTATCAAAACTGTACGCAATTTACTATCACACAATGGTATTTAACTTTTGACTCGCACAATTTTTGAACAAAGTGATTTATGATGCCTAGATAGATGCGTAGGTAACAATTACGCGCTAAATTTCGATGATTTATCGAAGATTCCTATGCTAAACGTAGTTTAAATCTATTTGTTTCATCATTTATCACATAACGATGTATATTTTAGTCCGTTAAGGGCAACCATAATTTCAGAGTGTCATATTTTCTACTACATTAAAAATAAATTGTTTTTGGTTTCAAGGCAACATAATAGTGAGAGCTTATGGCAGCACTTACATTAAATTCGATACTGGCGTTATAACCATTAACAATTAAATATATTTAATTTAAAAATCATATCGAACTTGGCTACTCTTTATTATTAAAGCCCAACTATGACTTTTTGGTTGTGTTCCGGAACTTAAATGTGTACCGGAATTATTGTAGTCGGAAAAAAACGAATCGGTGGAGAGTTAAGACCATAGGAATCAAGAGCATAGCTAGAAATATCATCATAGGAGTAACCGATTATCAAAACATGTTCATGTTCATGTGTCATTAATTAAGTGTATTTTTAAATGTTTACAAATGTCAAATGTTTTATTATATTTTATTATCTTTATAACTTACAAGGAAAATACAAAAAAAAAAAAAATTATAATATATTAATATAATTCTTGTAGAATTGCATTTTTAGAGAAAAAAAATTTAAAAACTCTGACATTAAATAGAAAATGATCATTTGAATACTAATTTAAAAAAAATATATATTAAAAGAATAAAAAATTGAAAATTTATGAGGAGTTTAAATAATATGCCATACATGGATCAATTTAAAATGTTGTTAAAAATCGATATACTTGTAAGCTATGGTCAGAGGAAACAATTTCTCTCCCCTGCTCCTCCCCCCCCCCCCCCCCGATTACGTCCATGATATGAATAAAGATATCCTTACTCGCCGAATACCATAAATGTCGTCGATTGCACGGGTATACATTTGGGTATAAGGTTCAGCCGCTTATCGGACTCAAAATCGCTTGGAACGGTCCCGACGTATCCAAATACATTGAAAAAAATTCGCTTACAAGATTCACTTTATGCTGTCCTAAAATGAGTCTTTCAAGCAGCGTATACGAAGAGATAACGATATTATACCGTCGTAAACGATACGCCTTTAGCAACGATTATCTTGATCGGATAGTTTTTTCATGAATCGATAACGTAACTCTATAGTAGGAGTAGTGGGCATAGCTATTTTTCCAGAGCAAACACGGCAACAATAAACGCTGTACATCACGAGCGTGACCTTTATACGGCAGTAACGTTTACACGATAATTACCGTGTACAGATTGGTTTGTGCACGTATACGTGTATGTGTGTGTGCACGTGTACGCAACTCTCGGATCGTACATAGGCCCGGTGTGTGTACGGTTTGGATCCCGCGGTGAAAGCGACAAGATAACTACTATACGGACCGTCGTGATCGGTTTTTTTTTTTTTCGTTTTAGGAAGAAATGACCGGGTTACGTCACTTTCAGCAGCAACGAACCTTGCTTTGAGTTTCATTCGGATGCGATAACCCATCAGGCGTTATACGAATAATGATAACAATGAATTATAATACTATTATTACGATTGTTATTGCTGCAGTTTCTGTTGTTGTTTTCGTTACTGTTATTGTAATTATTGTGTTAACGCGATCGCGCGGGACGCCGTTTAGAAAGTGACGGCGGCATTTGTACGCGGCGCGATATAACTTGGAAGATACCGTCGGTCACGCGAACCGTATTGTATGCGAATGCATCCGAAAGTGTTGAACTTTCGTATCGTCTGGAATAGGCTGCGGAGGCTGTCCCGGTCAGTCGACTAGTATGGTGTATCCGATATAGAGTCATATATACCACGTTATGAGGCATAAAAACGTTATATAATGTTATACGTATATATGTATGTGTGTGTGTAGATAGGAAATAGAAAGCTGAACTCAATGACACAATGACGTGAGGGCGGCGCAGGGCGTGTCGCGTTTTTATTTTTTGTCCCCGACTACGAAACGCTTGTCGCACCAATCCGATATTATTACCGTCGACGATAATATGGTATGTTTTATTATTGTTATTTAAAATTATTACGCCCTTATTGGTTTTCTTTGCGTGCGTTCTACGGTCGTATACGGATACACGATTATTACGTTTCATCATCGCTGAGGTTGTATTGTCATCGGCGTATCGTCGCGGTAACAATAATTGTACGGTGCACGGTCTAGTACGGAGCGCAGACATCAGTCGAAGCGTAGGATGTTCGCGTCGCTGCCAGGACAATCGCGTGGACAAAAGGAACATGGTCGGACACACGAACGAGATAAGTCACGATGATTTCAACTGATGTGTGACAAATCGTTTCGTGGCGTAACTGTGCAAGAGTCCCGAGACACAATAATAGTCCGGCCCGAGGTCGTCGTCAACAATCCCGTCGCGTCCAACAATATAATAATCGGATGATATGCGCGTCGCCGCGTTGTACGATCCGTAGATTCAAATACAATAACATAATCAGATCACAAACGCCGTTCTTGTCGCTTCTCGGAGACAAAATTCTTCGCAGATCACGTGTAATCGCGGGTCTCTGACTTCGCCTACCGCGGACACCACAAGTTTTCAACGCGGCCTTACAACAGTGTCACTGGCACAAATTTTGATTCGCCTGCTTAACTAACCGTAAGATTCGATGTGAACACTTTTACTGATGTTCCGTCACGAAGTGTATCGAATTTGTTAACAAACTAAAATACAAGTATGTTTTTGTCGTGTTCAAATGCTATATGAGCTATGCTTGAAAAGTATATTTATACTATTTACATATATTTTCAGGCGAGCGCAGATTAATAAATTAATTCACGAGTGTTTACCATTTAATGTTTTTTTTTTTTTTTAATTTTTATCTAATTTTTTATTATTTTATTAATCAAACACGGATATTTTTTTCCAAATTAATTAATCTAATTTTAAGATAAACCATTTGGCGTACAATTAAACTTTATCGTCATCTTGTTCGTGGCAAGTTAAAGATAAGTCCAATCACGTCGTCGGAAAAATTTAGGGTTTATCGAATGCACTTTCACAATTTCATCCCGTCTAACAGTCAGAAACCATAATTGTACGTATTCTACAAACTTGTTAAACAGTAAAAACGTCACCAACGTATCATTAATACGACAACATATATTTTATATACGATTTTTACATAATTTTTTTCATGTCCAGCGTACAAATGTAATACAACGTTCTTTTCAGTAATCCGTGTATACATGTGATTACTATTTTTCGCGTGTAAATACTATATTATCTATTTAATATCGCAAATATGTTTACCGATCTTAACTCACGTTCGCGATACATTCGAATAAGTGAACGAAATCCCGACCGTAAAGAAAAACACATAACAATACAATGCGCATCACATCTTATGTCAATCAATTAATTTGTGTTTTCGCGCTGTAGTATTTCAGCACTATGGCTTTTCTCTCACCGAATGCGTTCAACTACCCCGGTACGCGTTTAAACGCACTTTGACCTCACGCCGCTCTCCTTTTTAGTACATACTTTCACAACATAATAACTAAAATCTGTGTAAACTGCATTACGACGGCTCGGATTTATTTTCATCAGCCCGTATACAATACACTTTTCTCGCTTTTACGCACCGCTCGAGTCGTTAAACTCTCCATGATCAGCCTTCGCAGTTTTTCTCTTTCTCATAAATCCGTACAAAATAATGTTTGTATTTATTTTTTCACTTTTTCTTTCCTTTATATACTAGACGCGCGAGTATATCAATCTACAGCAGGTAGATGATAATGGTTTTCTCGCGGTCAATACACCACTGTATATACACCGTAAATCGTATAATATCCATAGAGAAGGCCTCCCGCTAGGCTCATTTTCACGAGTATTTCAGCTTGTCTCCAAGGTCAAAATCACTCACGAGAGAAAAAAAAACGCTAACAATAAATGAAGAACATTAAAGTGTATTATAAATTATGATATATTCATTATAATAAGCAATCGGGAAATACGCGGTCTACAACGCATCTCGCACTAGTAAAAGGTCGAGGCCGTCGAGATAAAGTAATGAATATGTATGTATACGAACATATATAATACGGTCCGAGTGTCTTGCGTCGAATTCAACGTGTTTACATATAACTTTAATTACAGAGTGAACCGTAAGACCATCGAGTTCATTCGTTTTTGGCCTTTCGTGGTGAATATAAATAACACCAACTAATAACTAACTAATCTAATACAGCGGAATATTAAATCATTGTAACCACGTGCGCGCGTGCCGCCATGTGAACCCATTTCACGACTCGTCTTGGCTGTTGGGCAATGATTTTTTACTCGAAAGAAACGAAAGGAAATTGAATGCGTTCACAAGCCGCGAGGATCGTGCGAAAAAATAAACCACGAGCACACAACCCGTTCGACGTTATTATAATATTATTACTGTTCCGCTGCAATATTCGACCGCCACACAAGACGCGAATTTCGTAATCCGCAAGCTAAAAACGCGTATACAATGATAAACCGACGAACATACATTATTTTTCAATTCTACAATCTCATCGGGTCGCGATTGCTTGGACTTAATACCTGCAGCACGTGTATATATGTACGTCGGGGTGCATAAAATATAATTCAATCGGTATAGCAATCATTGTTCTTATATTGTTATATTGTATTCCCTTATTGTTTGCGTGCAAATAATATACCATCGATGCGTATGTTTCATGCGAGTATAATATGTTTGAGGTCTCATGATCGAGTTGGGGCGTCGCGTTGTCGGAGCGAATTTCGCGAAATAGACACCCGAGGAGTTTCTATTAGTCACAAATAACGATAAAGGTGATGATGGTGTTTGGAGTTAAGTCTTCGTTCATCGTTTGATCTACTCGAAATTATTATCTCGTTCTCGAAAATCGTTTCGAACACCAGCCGTCGTCTTGTATTAACAGAAAATATATTGTTTACGATTGTTTACAGAAATATTACTTTACATGTTATGTACAATGATATGAAATTACTACAGTATAATGCAATGCGTATTCTGAAAACTCGTGCGTGCACTACATAAGGCGTTCATCACTTGATCGGTGTAAGACTGGAGGGATTTGTCAAGCATTAATATTTAAAATATATGTAAAGACGTACTATACATTAACGGCACTTAATGACCTATATGTTACATATTATATTATAATAATATAATGTGTAAACACGACGGAAACACGCGTTGCATTCCGAGAGCTAAGGAAATCGACAGTTCTCATAGAATTCTACAGCTATAACATGTGACGTAAAAAATGTGTTGTTGTAAAGGAACGATTTTATGAAACCAGTCGAAAGTGAAAGTTTGGGTCTTTGACGGAACGTTGTCAAACAAAATATGTTTCTAATGATATTTAAATGAAAAATGTATACAACATAATGACACCCGCACACACACATTTACATATCAAACACGTCTATAACGCGACAAAAAAACATTAACGTCAAATTAATAAATATGTTTCCCAAATAAGCGGACGTGTTTTTCCTTTATACTCGTGATTATATTGTAATGGCTAAATCGAATTTACCTGACTGGAAAATACATCTTAAAATATGTGTCTCATTATTATTTTAAAATGCAGTTTTTAATAAATAAGCAAATTTATTTTCATTATTATGTGAGTGATAAACACGGACGTCTATACAATATATGGGTAATCTATCTTAATACTCAAGATAATGAAGCTCCCTAATATGAAGATCTATCAAAAAATGTATTTCATTATGTTTAAATTATTTCTTCCATTTTTATTTCCACAATGTTAGCAAACAGTTATATCTTCAAGAATTTATCAAAGTGCACATCACATTAGATATTTATAGAAGTTTAATGTATAACCTAATCCTTTTGTAAAATAAAATGCATAAGTATTTTCAAAAAATAATAAAAAATTGTTAATCTGTAAGTCAATTTTCTTAAAACCTAATCATAAAGAATCATATAGATTATACAATTATATGAACCTCACGTTGTATTTTTAAATACAACTTGTTACTTATAGGTTTTAGTTGATTATCAACGAAATTTTTAACAGGAAAAACATTCTTCAATAGATTATACGAATCATATAATGCTTACTATTCAACGTCTAATGGAAATCATGAAAACATAATTTAATTTCTATGAGTATCCATAAAGTGAACACATTTATCAATAATTATCGCACATTTACTGTCCTTGAAATTTGTTGGATATTTATTAATGAATTTGTAACGACAGTCAGAAATAAAGCCATTGATTCGAAATCTTATAAAAAACTCAGACATTCATTAAATACCATGATAAATATCGTTATAATTAAAACCAAATAGTTTATTAAATGATATTATGAAATAACTTTATTTTGTTTAACTATGAAATAACTTGAATTAAAATATGTTAGATAAAAAATAATAAAGAATAAATTAACTTTTCCAGTAGACAATAAAAGATTTACAAAAGATTTTTATTTTCAAAGTTATCAGCTAAATCGTATGTTACTTTAACTATTTTGTTAATATTTCAAGTTATAATAAATTACCAATACAAAATTGTACTATCTTTTATTTGATAAAAAGAATATTTAAAATAAATTAATTAGCCTTAGTTAAAACAGAAAAAAAAATTAATTGTATTTTTTTATACAAGGTCAAGTAATAATTGAAAGTTTATTATTGTAAAACAATAGATTCTAAAAAAGTCATTAAAATGAAAAGAAATTCAATTTGAGTGAATTTAAAATAACGTATTAAAATATGTAATGTAGCAACGGCAATAATTATTTTGATTACTTTGTACACAACCAATTATTGAACACTAATCGATGAACCGATTTTATTAGTATAAAATAAATGCAATAAGTTTGATAACTATGTAAACTTTTATTATTTAATTGAGAACTCGTTTAATCCTCATTTATAAAGTTTAAGAGTATAGGTATAACGTTTCTGTTGGATGTTTAAAAAATTAAACACTAACATTAACTTAGAATTTCAAAAATAAATTAAATTAAAGTTACATAATTTAAACCAAATATGGTGTATACTTAATACCTATACCTAATTATTTCAGAAAATTTGTTTATATGTTTTATAATTTTATTAAAGCATTAAATTATAAGAATATTATTGTTAAAACGCAAATAGACAACGCAAAAATTCGTAAGGCTGTGCAGTATGAATTAAAATTATTTTAAATTTTCTAATAATTTACTTTAAAATTTAACTAAACAACAAAACAAAATCAAATGAGTTTTTTGTGCGTTTTAAAAGTAAAAACTTAATCTAGTAAAATTATTTTCACAACAAATGTAATATTACAATTATCATAATTATTAACACAACATAATATTACACACATACACGTGAAGTAATATGAATTAACTTAGTTCGTTTTAACCACTTTTTAAATATAAAGCATAAAACTGAAATAATTATAATAAAATACGCTATACAACATTCAATAATTTGAACGATAAAAATTCAAACAAATCGAATTCATCAAAGCTTCGTATTATCATGACTTAGAAGAGTCCTGTATTTTCTCAGCATTTTATTGTTGTAACTTGTTGAAATCAAGTATAATATTTACATCAAGTCGTAGTCGTATTACTTTGTTTTTACACTTTCAACTATTTTTAAGCACCTATATATGACTACAGAATAAATGAAATTCGTGCATTCAACGTTGTTAAATTGAAAATCGTGAAGGTAATCCTATTAGGGGTTTGGTCTTGGAAATACCGAAGAAGTTTACGGAACATTATTTTACCAGGTGGTATTGCGTCATTTGTAAACGGTCTACGGAATATTTTTATGCACAAATTAAACCACAATCAAAATATATGTATAGAATAAAATATAACAATACATTAAAATGGTGCAATGAGTTTTTACTTACATTGTTGGACGAAGTAAATGGTGAAAACCACCCAGAGACATGTGTTGCGCTTCATATCGGAATCAATAATAATGCGAGTACGATGACTGACGGTGTGTTGCAGGAGGTGATCGTGTTCGACGACAACAACGAGGACCAATGCGACGTTGGACAGCAGAGAAGGACGAACGCCGGCAAGGTAGAGGAAAAACGAAATAATAAAGCTGAAGACGCCGCTACCGCCACCACCGCCACTTCCACCACCGGTCAGACGAGGGAAAGAGATGAAAGTGAGAGACCTTGGCGGGTTCGCACAACTACACCGGATCCCACGGCCCATCTCCTTGTCCTGTACTGTAACTAGATAATAATATTATAACATCTGTGTAACTTTTGTAATTTATATCCATATGCGCATGGCGTATATTATGCATTGGATTTAGCCATATTATACAAACGCGCGAATACATTATACAGCTGTGTGTAATATTCAAAAAAACTGACTATACTGGCTAAATTGTACTAGGTTTATTTCGAATATTGTTGAATAACTTTCGGGATTTTAGGAAGTGCACCGCGTTTCGTACGTATAATAATATATATATTAAAAAAAAACACCTTCCGCGTATTATTTTTTACGCAGATTTCGTATATTTGACAAACTTAGCACCACAAATAATAATAATAATAATAATAATAATAATAATTCAATGTAATATTATAATAATAGATATATGTATAATCATTGCGATTAAACATTGAACGTCGGGGAAACGCCACCGTCGCTGTATGTTCCATCGCTCCCAATGGGGTATGCATTGATATATATGCATTGATCAGGTTAGGCTAGATACCACAGGAAGGGACATAAAGGTTAGGTTAAGTTAACCAATTAATTGCAACGATATTTAGATAACGCGATTTTTCCCTCCCCTATAATGATTACTCGCACAGCTTAGTGGATTCATTTGAAAATTTTGAAAAAGCGATCTGCTCACTTTTTGAGTTGCCTTATAATAAAGTTCACTTATCAATACGTAGTGTATATTCATTTAAAAGGTGTAATTCAAAAAAAATCTAAGTAAATTTGAATCAATAAAATATAATTATTTTATTTTTATTTTTATTGTATATAGGCACATAATACTTGTAATTTTATGATTACTGAAGTTTATGATACTTAAAATAAAAATGTATTTTTTGTTTGCTATTAAGTACTTTATTAGTTAATTATTTCACTTTTTATTAATTAAAATAATAATTAATCTACTATTATATAGTTTCACAGATTTGTTGGAAAATGTGTGCATTATTTAATTTTTGAATTATTGAAAACTTAAAAGTTCCATGCATGATTTGTACTCTCTATAATAATATGCAGATTGAAAAAAAATAAATAAAAAAATATAGCCATCAAGTTTATGTACCTGCATAATACTCGAACTATCTTATGAATGCAAATTACTGAACTGAAACACGTCATGAACTTTCTCGATTATTTTTAGATGAACGTATTTTTGTAATCACAACCGATCTTTTTTTTTGACCTGTGATCATATGATAGCAAAAATTGAAATATTTAGACTCCAAATTTTAGATTTACATTTTTAATATGCCTGTAACATTATTAACGTTGTAGACAGTAAATATTATTGATGTAATAACTTATAAGTAATAACCAATAACAGCGATAATTTTCGCTAGTACAATAGTACAGAACACGCAAATTTCATTGTCTTTATCATAAGTTTTATTTTTCATTATTATTGTTTCTGACTGTTTGTCTAAGGATACAAATAAATATAACGGGACAAATTAGAAATAATCAAAACATTCCTCAGTCTTCACCACATCGGAGTGGCATTAATTTTAAATAAAAATAGGCAATTTCGAGAACCTTGCTATAATTTGAATTTAAACGTGTTTCATGCATTTATATCTATAACAATTTTAGTTCGTGAACTCAAAATAAGTCGAAAATCAATTACATTAAACGTAACAGCAGTTTATATATTTCCTTAAAAAAAAAAACTTTCTACGTTATTTTCAAATAAATATACAATTTATAACGACTAATAATGTATAAGTATTACTCGAATGTTTCTCGGAAAAATGGTAATAATATATATATATATTTATGTATATATAAGAATTGAAGAAAGTGAACAAATTAAAATGGTTAGTATAATTATAACGCTGTTGGCTCCTAGTATTGTACAATACACCGATTATATTGCTTATATATATTTATAACATTATAGAGGAACCATTACTGGTAAAAGTAATTAATAGTTATCGTAGAAGCTATTATATTTTAGAAGAAGAAAATATAATTTATCATTTTACTATATTATACGTAAGTATCACGGTTCATCATCAAGTATTTAGTTAGTAACAGAGGATTACTCAAACGCTTTATTCAAAGCAGAGGTACGAATTATGCGAAAATTATACGCTCCGAAGTAATTAATCAAAATCACAGAAGGGATACATTTTTGATACACATTCGTCGAGTAAATTTCTAAAACAATAGTGCAATGACGGAGAAAAAAAAATTACGTTTTTAAAAAATAGTTTTTTTTCTTTTTATCAAAATCGTTATCACATATTTTTATATTAACTTTATTGGTTTCATAATGTTAACATATAATAAAATATAATATACTCGTACGATCTTATATTACCATGTACGCTCGTATCATAACATTAAAAAACACGTATCCTAGCATAACCTATCTATACTGTAGATGTAGTCTGAACGCATACTTAAGAATTTTACTTTAGATTTAAATATTCCTGTGCAGCAAAATGTTATCACGTTGGAAAACTATTTCGAATAAGGAATGTACGTTAAAAAAAACACAGACATGTATTCTTACATTAAAAAAATAATAAACACTGACATTAGCGCGGCTAAGTATAAAATAATACGCGTACAAATTATAGTTCATATAACACGCATCAGCCGAAAAAATATTTACTCGTCTATAAAATGTACTCGGATAGTTAAAACACAGACTTTTACAAATGGCTATAAACTACTTATTCTTAATTGCTTAAGTTAGACTGTCTGTGTTCAGTTCAGTTTGTGGCCCGTATCAAACTGGTCCGTCTATAATCGTACGACGATTGTACTTTTCTTTTGTTCTCACGCTCAGCAAACAAAAAACCGTTAAAACAATTCTATAAATTATTTCCTTTCGTTTTGATATACCGTCAAAATGTCTATGAAAATACAACCAAATATGTACACAAAATTAGGACATTTTTGTAAGGAAAAATAATAATTAAACTCCGTAATTTATTGCGTTCAGAGAATGTACCTAATCGTATGTAATAATTTGATAAAAAGTGTTTGGATATCAAAAATTAGATTTAATTCAAATCAGCAATTCGTCGAATTTCGTCGTTTTGGGAACGTGCGTTAAAATAATATGCTCAAGAATCGAGTTTCGTAATTCTTATACTCTTCCTAGTTATAATTTTTGTTTGTAATCATATGTACACACATACGTTTGGCATTTTTCCTACTCGTCATCGACGCTATTTCCGTTTGCCCGAAGCAAACAAAACGAGTTCACGTTTATGTAATATACATAATATACATATAATAATACACACAAACAAGTATATCAATATTCTGATGTGATTATGAATTAAAATAATCAAAAGAAAGCAAGATTTTAAACGTTTAACACATCGACAATTTATTAAGTCATACCCCTTATAAATATATATAGGTACACAAAATTGCAATATCATCATGTAATTTTTTTTGTTTCACATTGTTTAGGTAACATATTTTATAAATGTTCAATAATTTTGTTCCGTATAGCAATATAATAACGTTCACGTGTTTTGTTTTGATACAGAATAATTATGATTTGTTTTTTATATCTAATTTCACGTATGTCTATAAAGAATAATACATCTATATACATTGTACTGTGCTCGTATTATATGTATTATTTGTCTCTTTATAATAATATGTACCCATACAAACGGATATATGTATGTATATTATATAATAATGCTATTGTGTTCACGTGCATAAATACAATGTTTCTATTCATTGATATAATTTCAATATAATAATATTTAGTAAATAATTTTTTCAATTCATATTATTATTTAATAAAATATTTCATGTAGAATTGTAAGCACGTCGATTGCATGTTGTCTCACTCATTACACATGTAACTTAACAAAATCATACATGTTCCGTAAGACTATTTAACATTTTTATTTTATATTTTAACTATTTTATACGTCTCATTATGCCTATACACAATAAGAAGAATATTTATCTATTATCAATTATAAGTTGAAAATATTATGCGAGACAATGTTACTTCAGTCTTAAAATTTCATCCGAGATTCGAACCTTAATCACTGATAATAACATATTATTTTATCATGAAAATTTTTTTCAGACTATACACTATTTCCGCTGGAAAGATTGCACCGACAGGACCGAATTCAGTGCAGAGCAAAAGGGTATGGGCTAGAGGCGCAATTCTAAGAAGGACGAAAATTTCAACACTACTCATGTAATCATTTTCACGAAATATGAAAAAGATGTAGTTAAAACGATTTAATTTGATAAATTTGCCTCTATAAAATCAAGAAAAGTACCATTGTATTAAAATAAATTTAAAATCATCTAACATAATTATATAACAAAAACATTTGAAGAAAATTACATGTATTTATAATGCATTGGTTGTTTATATTTTAAAGTAATACGAATAGTTATTAAAGTTTATTGATAATAATTACCTTGTATACTAGGTTTTTATACATGCTTTATAAATCTCAAATGTTTTTTTGTAAAAAAAATGCAAATTTCCCATTGGGGGTGGAGGGGGTGAAAATACAGTGATTCGCCAGGGGTACCACCAAACCTCAATACGGGCCTGTACTCCGATAATCACAACCATAATACATTTCTAATAAAAAATGTTATCTAGTCAGTAATGTAAAAGAGGATAAATTACGAATTTCCAATAATTTTCTTAATAATTACAATAATAAAAAATTAAATTTACACTGAATGCTTAGATCATTATTTGCTATAGATGTTATATGTTTCTTTCTAAGCAATTTATAGAAAATTGAAATTTTCTTGTTTTTATTTTTTGCTTTTTTTTCCAAAATATTGATAAAATTATTTTAATTGGGCAATAGTCTTGAAAATGTATATGTAATACAACATTTCTCATATGGATCAACCACCATCACGAAAGAAACAAATTAAACTTAAAATGAAAAAAAAAATTGAGTTAAACACTCATTATTCAATTGAAACAAAACGATAAAAATCAAGAAAATTCGCACATTATTGTAGTCAAAAAT